AAATAGAATCCTAATTGATATATATTTAACAACTGGTGAAAATATGTCATTATAGTCAATTCCTTCTCTTTGTGTGAAACCCTTAGCTATTAATCTTGCCTTATATCTATTATTGCCTCTTTTCAAATCACTTTCTTTTATTTTATACACCCATTTATAGTCTACCAGTTTGCAGTCAGTAGGGTTTTCTACCAAATCCCAAGTATGATTCTTATTTAGAGAATTCATTTCTTCTTGCATTACAGCAAGCCATCTTGTTGAATCTTTGCAAGAAACAGCCTCTTCAAAAGAGGATAGTTCAGAACTTAGTGTTTCAGATTCAATATGTTCAGATACATAGTCTACATGTAAGAATTTAGAAGGGGTTCTAATTACTCTTCTTTCCCTGTCTCTAGCAAGTTGATAATCTTGCAGATCAGTAGTAGGATTAAGAGATTGGTTGTCATCTAAGTTTTCATTAGTTATAGCTTAGGTTTGTTCTAGAGGTTGCTCCACCTCAATTTGAGTTCGATTTTGATCATCTTGTATATCAATTTCAATACTGGTAGACACAAAGTCTTTATCAGTTAGTTCTTCTCTATTGTTGTCACTAGGACAAGGGAAATCCTCTTCATTAAAAATAACTGATCTACTTATTATGACTTTGTAACCTCTAATTTCTTTCAACCACAATCTGTAACATTTAACTCCTTCTCCATACCCTAGAAACACGCACTTACTGGACCTGGGATCTAATTTAGAGCCAGTTTGGAGTGAATAGGCTGCACAACCAAAATTTTTTAGATAGGAATAATTTGGCATGGATCCTGTCCAAAGTTTTTCAGGTATTTGATAGTCTACAGAACTTGAAGGACTTCTATTTATAAGGTAACTGGCTGTGTTAACAGCTTCTCCCCAGAATATTTTGAGAAGACAAGAACTTATTAGCATGCATCTAGTTCTTTCAAGGAGTGTCATATTCATCCTCTTAGCAATTCCATTTTGCTGGGGAGTATAGACAACAGTCCTGTGTCTTTGTATCCCATTATTGCTACAAAATTGGTCAAATTCAACATTGCAGAATTCTAGACCATTGTCTGTTCTTAATGTTTTTATCTTCCCATTAGTTTGGTTTTCTACCATGATTTTCCATTTTTTTTAAAGGTTATGAAAGTATCTGATTTATTTCTTAATAAGAGGATCCAGACATTTCTAGAAAAATCATCTATTATCAGGAGATAATATCTGTAGCCTTAGGCAGTACACAGGTGCAGGCCCCCACATATCACTATGTATATAATCAAGAGTATTCTGGGATTTATGTATGCCTGTACTAAATGGCAGTCTGTTCTGTTTAACTAAGATACAATGTTCACAAAAGTTTAACTTGTGAACTTTGTCTTTTCCAAAGACACCTTCTTTTGAAAGAAGTTTTAGTCCATTCTCCCCAAGATGTCCAAGTCTCCTATGCCACAGTTATAAATTATTAGCCTGAGTCACAAAGTTCACATCATTATTATGAGACACACACTTAACACTTATCAAATAAATTCCATTTGTCTTAGATGCATTAATGATAATGTTATGATTTTTCTTTATATTTGTAAAACCCTTATTGATTTCAATCTGATAATCTTCATCATCTAGAACTCCTAATGAAATAAGATTCCTTTTCAAGGCAGGGACATATCTAGTATCTTTTAAAAGTAATGTTTGATTACTTTCAAGTTTTAGTATAATGTTTCCAATCCCTTTCACTCCATAGGACTCATTATTTCCTAATTTTACAAAACCTTCATTTAGATTTGAAAAATCAGAAAAATAGCTAAGGTTTGGACACATATGAAAAGAACAACCTAAATCAAGAACCCAATCTTGATTTGTTCTTTCATATGAGGAGACATAGGCAACACCAATGTTTGCCCCTGCTTCTTTTTGAGAAGCAGTATTAGCAAAAGGACCATCACCCTGATTAGACCCATTTCTTTGATTTTAGCCTTTCTAAAACAATCTTTGATAAGGTGTCCAAGTTTGCCACAATAGTAGCACTTTCTATTCTTATCATATCCTTTAGTATTTTTCTTATCTTTTGCCCTATTATTACCCCATTTTTTCTTCTGAAAATTCTTGCTTCTATTAGCCTGACTAAAATTACTAACGCCTTTAGACTTAGTCTTAGGGTTAGGTAGAGAAGTTTCAACACTAAGTGTTTCTTTATGTTCTGATCTTAACTCAAGTTCCTTATTCTTTAGGGAATTATGAATTATATCAACAGTTAGATCATCCCTACCATAGTCTAGGGCATTCCTTATGTCCTTATATATATCACCCAGTGCATTAAGCAGACAAACTACCTTTTGATCACTAGAGATTTTCTCACCACAGTTTATAAGATCTTGTGTGATCTTATTGAACCTATCCATGTTTTCTTCTAAGTCAACACTAGGGTCAAACTTATGGCTGAAAAATTGTTTCCATATTCAATTCACATGACAAAGTACGAGAGTTTGATGCTAAAGCATGAATACTTGAAAACATTTTTATACTCACATAAGATCTTACTAGGCCGTTCCTTCATTATTCATGATTTTACGTTTAAATTGGTCAAACTTTTTATATTTTTTAAGTTAATGTATCAATGTGATTAATCTTATCATAACCACAACCCTTATCGTTATCTATACTTCCTAAGTTCAAAGTTCAATCCCATCTTAATGGTGACTCAATCACGTGGCCTCATTAATCACAAAAATAAAATGTTTGACCAATTGATCTAAGCAATTTTTATACTATTCTTCTAGTTCCTGAAAACAAATTTATATGTATTAGAGTTGTAATTTCATGTCTTCTGATAATTCTTCACGAAAAATTCGCTACTCGATTCGCATCCATGACTCGCCTCACTTGTCACCCCAAATTTGAAGAGGGCTTTAAGTTTGGGCACGCGAACATATAATTTTATGCTCAAAACACCCTAGACTTTTGGTTTGGTGACATGAGAAGCTCTATATCTTGCAGCAAATCTGTTGAACAAGGCTAGAGCATTGCTATTAACCTGAACAAGATTAAGGACCTTGGCTTTGATCATGGCCTTCATCTTGCTGCCGATCGACCTGCCGGAAAACCCATCGAGACAAGAGCTTGCATCAGTTACAGCGGCACTCATCCATGTCTGGACATTGCTTGCATGCTTCTAGGGCTTTCCACAGTTCAGCTGCAGTATCAGTATCAGTATCATCTAACTTCCTAATCACAGAATCAGATAAGTGCAAAAATAAGGTACTCCATGCCAATTTATCTTGTTCGGTTCTCCTAGCTTCACTTAGGGTTTCAAGCCAAGACTCATCAATATATTTCACACATTTTAATTGCATTAAAAGTGCTTTTATTTTCTGGCGTCAGAGACTAAAGTCTCCTTTACCATCCCACATAGGAACATCCATTTTCGTGGCCATAATGTGCAGGAGTGTAACAATTATTCTCAAGAGTTTCAGAATCAAGTTAAAAAGTATCACACAGATCAATTTATTTTAACTTGTGATTTGGGAGAAAACAACAGTATACAACAGATTGATAATTTCACATATGCTTATACTCAATCAACAATGTGTACTCAATACATGTAGTTTACGTATACAGTTATCACTTCACAATATGAGATAAATCAGTTTACAGTTATGCAGGTTCCATGAACTAATTCAAAAGGTTCAAGACAGCAGCAAATATAACAGTAATATATGTCAGAAAGTTATTCTAATTTCATAAGTTGTTTAATATTCAACAGTAAGTCACAAAGACATATACACTTACACACAGTAAGCTACAAGTTTAAATAAAGGAAACAGATATACCTTCAAAGAAGAATAATCTCAGACTAAAGAAAAATTATAGTTCCTGAATACACCAACATTCGATTATCAGTTACAAATAACAGTATATGCAGCAGACTAACTATAGAATCATAGATAAAACCACGAAGGAGACGAGAGAAGAACGAAGAAAACCAAAAACTGCCCTAACCCTAGAATGAAGAGTTCAATTTAAATGGAATACGATCAATCGCTGATCCAACAGTCCAGATTTCACCAAGTGTCAGCCATCCATTTGAAACGCACCAGTGCACAAAAGATAAAACACGCTTTCAATCCATTCCAGAATCTTCACTTAATTGGATCAAAAAAGGACCCGGTTTACTTGGGCTGGCTATGCTGGACCATTTCTAATAAATGGGCTTAGAAATGTAGCAACCCATTTACAGTGAAGAAAGCTTTGACTCGAGAGTAGCTCAGCCTATTTCGTGGCTGTCTTATTGTCGGAATCACGAAAAGTCTTTTGACATTGACGTTCGTGCCGGGATAAATGTCTAGGTAGTGCTTCCTAGATGGATGTTACTATTACTCATATGTATTGTGATGGCAATCTTGTAGCAAATTCACTAGCGTTAAGAGATCGTCATCACTTCTTGTACTTGGTGGTGGATAGCTCCATAACGTTTATATTTTTCGATAGGTAGCAAGCCTAGATATAGGTTTGTTAATGTTTTCCTCTACTCACACTTTGGTATACTCTTTATAATATATCAATAAAAATGTTGAGACGAGTAGATGACGAGGGTGCTAAAAAGGTGTTGACCTAATTGGAACGTCCAATTGTATATATTGATTCCTATTTTTAACAATCTACGAAAAAAGGCCTCTTGCCTCATAGCCGAGCCCTCAGTCCTCCTTTGGGTGGTCTAATTGAGCCTCGGACCCACAGTCTGGTCTCTAAGAAGAAAGTCTGCAAGACAAAAAATGGCATATTATAAATATAGGCCATGGAATTTAATAGGAATATATCCCAATTCCATTCTACAGAATATAAGAATCTCACTTTGTTTATCTTGATGAGACGTTGCAAAGCTTTTCCTCCATTCTCAAGAATATTAGAAGGATTTTCTTAATAAAATTCTATTGTTTCACACGCACGCACACACACAAACAAGTAGGCCAATGTATTCCACCAATCCGATCCCATTGGATCATCCAAAAAGATAAAGTGCCTAAATTACACAAAAAGAAACGCCAAAAAGCAATCCCACTCTAAAAATTCTTCAACACCAATAGTATTCGAAAGAAAAACCTATTGGGAAATTCGCACGATAGCTAAAAATCAGTTAAAAACATAAAAAGTTTACGAATTAAAGAAAGAAAATGCTGAGAAACCTTCAACAAAACTCCATTGAGATCTTCTTTCTCTTCTTCTTTCTCAATAATCATTTCCTCATTGTCAAAGCCCACATCTTCATATACGCAGGCTGTTCACAAGATAAATACACGCTTAATTCTCCCTATGTAACAAATCTCAACTCTTTATTATCCTCCATTACTAATTCGGCTCCACAGGCACTTTACAACAGCTTTTCTCTCGGAAACGACAGCTCAACCGCCTCCTCGGATGGGTCAATTTACGGCTTGTATCAATGCAGAGGTGATTTGAAGACAGAAGACTGCGCTAAATGCATAGTCAATGTGGTGAGCCAGATTGGTTTGTTGTGTCCATACACATATGGTGCAGCTTTGCAACTTGATGCCTGTTTTGTAAGATATGATCATTTTGATTTCTTGGGAAAGTTGGACACAAGTCTTAGGTACAGTACATTCAAGCACTTCATCTGAAAGTTTAAACTCTTAGAAAATAGACATATTTATCTGAGTTTTGTCTTCAACAACAGTTACAAGAAGTGCAGCAAAAGTACAACAAATGATGCCGAATTCTTGCGACGACGTGACGATGTTATCACTAATTTGCAAGTGGCAATAGGGTTTAGGGTTAGTTCATCAGGGTATGTTGCAGGTTATGCTCAGTGTTTGGGGGATATTGGTGCCACAGATTGTTCATCTTGCCTATCTGATGCTGTCACGAAAGTGAAGAGTCTGTGTGGATCTGCTGAAGCTGCAGATGTGTTCTTGGCACAGTGCTATGTGCGTTACTGGGCTTCTGGTTACTATGATACCTCTTCAGGTATATAATTTCTGTTTTTAATTTTTACATGATTTTTTCCAGTAGAAGTAGCTAGAATTTTCATGAAAAAATGGAAAAATCCAATTGGTAGTAAAATTTAATGTAAATCTTTCGCCCGGAAAAATGTAATACATTTGAGCTAATATAAAGGACATTTTTCACCCGTTAGGCCCCCATTTTTTTCAAATTTTAATGTTTGAAATAGTATTTTTTGAAGAATGTGTGGTTGAAAAGGAATGAAAAGTTTTTAATCTACGTGAAATATTATTTTTATGAAAAATTGTGTGCTTGAAAATAAGAAAGAGGGAAAAAATGAAAGAAAATGAGAGCCAAACGAGGAATATAAACGGATAGAATAATATTATTCATTTGTACTCTAGTGATATTTGATCTATGTGGTAGTGGAGCTACCATCACATTGTCCATTGAAGTTATATTGCTTTAGATGGTATAAAATTAGGCGTTTACGCTCCGACATCAGGCCCTACACTTAGTCGGCCCATATTTAGTTTAACAAAAAATCAAATTTTGAGTAGATTTTGATAAGTGGATGAAATGGGTGATTGAAATGTCAATAAAAATTGTTGATCTCATAAAATATATGATTGAAAATGAATTCGAGAAAAATGAATTTTAGAAAATGGGACTGAACATTTTATACAATTAAATTAATTGCAATACATCGAGCCTTTTCGTTGTTCTTATTCGACTACTTAATCTTTTGACATATTCTATTTAAACCATACATCTAACCTTCTCATGGCTTTTTTCTACATGATAAAAAATTATTCTTTCAGATTTAATTAACTTTCTGTAATATTATACTGTGAACTGATAAAAAGTTGAAAACTAAAGCTGATTCGAATTAAACAAGTTGAACACTTTAGATCGCACCCTAAAGCATTAGGAGAATAGAGAATCATATCCATTTCAAATATTTTTGCAAACCTAAAAACCAACAACCAATCTTTTAAAAATGGAAAAAGTACCTTCTTCCCCTTGAGCATCAATAATTGTGCTGTTTGTTTATTTTAGCCCTTTTATTTAATTTTAATCATACTTAATATTAACTTGAAGGGTGTAAAAGGACATTCACATTTCATAGAATAGGATTGGACATGATAATTAACATATTTGAACACACACGTCTCTTTTTACGACAACTAATGTCCAAAAACATTGATAATCGACGTAGAGTTGAACAAGATTAGATTATGTGACATACTTCTCTTTATGTACATTCATAGGCGATCGTCGTATGGAATCCTAGATTGACATATATACATTGCACTATTGAATTGTATAATTACAAAATTGGTGAATTTTCTTATTTTGTTTGATTTTGATGTTCTTGGTAGATTCTTCCAATAAAGACGATGTAGGAAAAACAGTGGCTACAATTGTGGGAGTAACTGCAGGAGTTGCAGTTATCATTGTTTTTCTTTCATTTTGTAGAAAGAAGTGTGGTAATATATAATTAATCAAATTCCTAATTTAAATTATTTTCTTTACTTATCTTTAATTAATGACAAGTTGTTGACTATAATTACACTATTATGCAGGTTAAGAAGAAGCCTAAGCAATTGGAAGATATTGCGGCATTTTTATTTTTTAAATGTATTATTCTTAAATGATCAATAGTAAACAAAGATCGAGAATTTAAATATCGATTCTCTTATACTTGTCACCTTAGAAAATGAGAATAAATTTGATATGTGAGTGCATGTTTTCTAGGGGAAATATAAATAAACTTCTAGCTTTAATTCAATTTCGTTTCTAAAAGATTCCATAAACTTCATAGTCACAAGTTCAATTCACATGACAAAGTACGAGAGTTTGATGCTAAAGCATGAATACTTGAAAACATTTTTATACTCACATAAGATCTTACTAGATCGTTCCTTCATTATTCACGCTTTTACGTTTAAATTGGTCGAACTTTTTATATTTTTTAAGTTAATGTATCAATGTGATTAATCTTATCATAACCACAACCCTTATCGTTATCTATACTTCCTAAGTTCAAAGTTCAATCCCATCTTAATGGTGACTCAATCACGTGGCCTCATTAATCACAAAAATAAAATGTTTGACCAATTGATCTAAGCAATTTTTATACTATTCTTCTAGTTCCTGAAAACAAATTTATATGTATTAGAGTTGTAATTTCATGTCTTCTGATAATTCTTCACGAAAAATTCGCTACGATTCGCATCCACGACTCGCCTCACTTGTCACCCCAAATTTGAAGAGGGCTTTAAGTTTGGGCAAGGTTTATTGAGATCTATCTGTCTCAACAAACTAAACCAAACAAGAACTTATATTAATTTTAGTTAATAAATGACAATTACAAAACTTTGTATTCACATATTACATCCACCTTACATGTGAATTCACAAACACAAACGAACATATAATTTTATGCTCAAAACACCCTAGACTTTTGGTTTGGTGACATGAGAAGCTCTATATCTTGCAGCAAATCTGTTGAACAAGGCTAGAGCATTGCTATTAACCTGAACAAGATTAAGGACCTTGGCTTTGATCATGGCCTTCATCTTGCTGCCGATCGACCTGCCGGAAAACCCATCGAGACAAGAGCTTGCATCAGTTACAGCGGCACTCATCCATGTCTGGACATTGCTTGCATGCCAAGGAAACTCACTTTCACCATCTTCATTCATTTGCTGCAACTCTTTGATAGAATTAGAGATTTGATCTACGCCGTCATTTATTTGATCCAAACAATCTTTGACTTGTTGATAACCCTTGGCCTTTGATTTCTTGAATAGTTTGGCCACTTCAGTGACGTAAACCCTAGTCGATTGAGCCCTAGCTAGGCTCACCCTCAAGGCAATTTGGGCTAATCTCTGATTATTTAATTGTGTCACATTCGAGTTGGTGATGAGATTGAAAAGACAACGTACACATAGTTCAGGGTAGCGTGTGGCTCGACACTGTAACTCAACAAATGCCCTAGCATGTGAACGCCGATGAACGGCCGGGTGCATTGCGTTAACAAGCGAAAAGACGAAGATGAGTAGGATAGAGAGCCTAATCATCACCATTTTTTGTGCTTAGCAGATGACTTTGAGAGGTTTTTCTGATTTTGTGATGTACAAATTTGAAGAGGTTATTGTGGGATTTATATAGAGAGGTTGTCACATGTTTAAGCATTTGATATCTCTACTTTGATTATACAATACTATGCAATTTTAATATAGTTTAAGGTGCATGTGTGACCTGTTTCCAAGAAAACCAGGTGGTTTGTTTAGGGTTGGAGTGTTTTGAGTAATTTGACAATTGTAAGTGAACTTTACTAATAACCAACATACAAATAAAATAACAAGATTACAAAATTGAATAATACTTAATTCTATTAAAAAAGATTTAATCTTATTTATTATACTACTAAGTTGTGTATCTAATGCTGCGTGCTAAATATATACGTCAGCATTATGCTTTGCTGGTCATTTAGTTGTAGTTCGAGCTGAATTATTCGAGTTTACAAACAATGCTATTTGACTTGTCTTGATCATTTGTAACAGCGTATTTACAATATTTTTTTATTTCTTTTGATGAAGACTTCATGAAAAATATGTTATTAGTAGTTTTGTACATGAAATAGCAAGTTATGATTTTCAAATATTTATGTGAAATATAACATCCTTTATCCAATCCTAACTGTTCGATAAGTGAGATGGAATAGTACTGAAAATTAAAGAAAATAATTATTTATTATATTATTTAATCTTTTCTAATACTATTGTGAAGTGCCAACCAAACATGCTTAGTGTACCTTATAACTAGGAACAATTGAGTGAAAAGTAAAAGTTGGAAAAGCCTAATGGCACTCTCGCCGGTGTCTACGGTTACTTGTTGCAAGAATTGCAAACAATTCATATAAAAAAGAACCAACATGATGCTAAAATTAAGGTTGACACATAATTTACATTTTAGCAAAATCATAATAATTAATATTATATTACCGCTACAAAATATCCAAGAAAGCAATGATATTTGTTTCCTACATAAAGATAAACAAGTAATAAATAATATTTTCGACGTTAGCAAAGTTTAATCTTAAATCCAGCAGCGATTCAAGTAAATCAATCAAACTTCCATATATAAATAAGATCTGACGGAATTTTATGTTGATTGTCGTTCCACCACAATCCTCCTCCTCTAACTAAATTTTGACACATGTCGGCCGCTCTTTCTTACCCTGTTGAATACGGAGTATCAATCGTCTTCACAGAAATAAAAATCAATTAATCTAACTGCTTTAGCTAATAAAAATAATTGATCCTGCAAATTTTAATCACAATTGAACCAATAATTCAAGTAATGGCCTTGTATATATCAAAATCTTGGAAAAGCAGATTTCACGGTCCATGCATCACGTAGGCATCAAGTATAGAAATAGTCAACTCTGGAACAATCAGAATGATCTCTTGATGTGATCCATTTGCATTTAACAATATTTCCTTCTCTTCAATTTCAGACAAAGGAACCACTAAACTAATTATTTGACATTATTATAGCATGTTTGCCCTCCGAGGCATATTCAAGTGGTGCAAAGGACAAGAGTGAAATATACTCAGTCTTGCTGGCAATCGTAGTGTGAGAGTTCGACTTCTGAAATATAGATTAAGACTTTTTGTGGGCACCAGTGTATAAGCAGTTCTTGTTTCCTGGCCTGCTTCGACACATTCCGCGATTAACCTCTTTCACGATACTCCAGGGACGGAGCGGTGGAGGATCCTTAAAGTTGAGGTTCAACCTTTTTTTTTTTATAGCATGTTTGGCCTAAAGCTTAAAAGCAGCTTATTAGCTGCTTCTTTTAGCAGCATAACATTAATGTCAGTGTACCAAACATCATGTCTGTTGTGCCAAATATACAGATGGTTGGCAAGATCCTTTTAAGAACTCAGTTTTGGATGTATTTCTCTGTCTCCTACTGTGTTGACTCGGTAAGGCAATTTTGACTAGATTTTGATTGATTTACTGAATTAGTAAAAAAATTTAATATTTTAATGAAGACTTTTTACGATAACAGTATTAAAACCTTCAAATGAAAACAAAGCCATTTAACAAAACATAAATAGAAAGTAATGCTATTTTCACTGTGCATATTTGCGAGAAAGCCATTTAACAAAATTCACCTTTGGACAATATGAAACAAAGCACCTGTCCAAATCTAATGGTTATCACTTATCCCCACATAGACTAAAGTTTAAATGCCTCCATAGTTTAAAATAAGGTAATTAGTACAAAACGTTCTTACCTTTAAGGTTTATTGTGGAAAACGTCCTCACATTTCATTTTTTTGGTATTTTTGTTCTTATTTCCACCTTTCTTTCCGGAAAACGTCATTTTCACCATTTTTAGTTTAAAATGACCAAAATACCATCTCATTTAAATAAAACCCAAAAAACATAAATAAATAAAAATAAAGAATAAATTACAATCTTACTTTTAAATGTTTTAAAAAGTGCAAGTGAGTCCAAATAATTATTAAAAGATCTAATAGCATAAACGTCCCTACGTTTGGCCTATAGTGTGAAAAAGTCATATATAAAGATTACATTTCCATTTATCATTTTAAACAATTAATCAAATTTATAGATTTATTGAGAGAATTGAATATATATTTTAACAAGTTAATAACTTAATATTACTTAAAAAATGACATAATGCACGGGTGGAAAACTAGTATTTGATAAAAAAGTAGTTATATTCACACTACAATTTTTATTTCTTGCACCATATTTTAATTACATTTAAAGTTCTCTTAACTCGTTATAACATTTATGTCCCTGACAAATTTTCACGACATGCTTGTCATCAAACCTTCCATTAGTTAACATATTTATACTTGATATAACAATTTGTGTCCACAAAGCACATTGAAATTGCATATAACAATTTATTTTTCATCATATTTTAAAAATATAAATTAATAAAAAAAGTATGAAAAAAATATTTTTCTCTCATTTCAAATCATTGAATCAAAATATTTTGATATAAATTATCATTAAGGACTAAATGTATCAATTAATGAGAATTTGAAAATAAGAATTTGATGAAAAAAATTAAGAAAATAATACTACACAATAAAAAAACTACTTTATCATGTGTTAAAGACTTAAATATCCTTCATTTGAAATGTTTAAAATGCCCACTTTGAAATCAAAATATATCAAATCCCAAACATAAATCCCTACTTTCATTCTCACTTTTCATATGTAATTGACATAAAACGTCCACATCTTTCAAGTTTATTGTGAAAAACGTCTATACCTTTCATTTTTATTTTTTTTGTATTTTCGCCCCTACCTTTCACCTCTCTTTGCGCTGAACGTCATTTTCATCATTTTTTAAAATAAAATGACCAATATACCTTCTTATCTAAATTAAAAAAAGAAAAGAAAAATAAAAAATAAATTTTAACTTTAGGCCCTAACTTTTAAAAAGTGCAAATAATCCACCGAAATAACTTCACCTTCTTCCCACACCTCACCTCATCCCACCATCACTTGTCGGCCATTTTTAGCCACCTTTCGACAACTTCACCTTCTTCCCACACCTCACCTCATCCCACCATCACTTGTCGGCCATTTTTAGCCACCTTTCGACCACTAAAACCACTGGATATTGATATCAATGGAAAGCCCTCAACCTCCTCCAAAATTACCATCCAACAACTCCCCATAATTGGAGCAAAGACATCAGAAGAAGTAGCATTTGGAGTTGAAAAATTCCCACGTGCAGTTGGACTTAATTAGAGTTGAATCCAGCATTTAGGTTGTAAATTGGCTCAATTGTTTGTTGACCCATGGATTTTCCATTGAGGTTCTAATTGTCGAATTGAACATTTGGAGTACCATAGATTCAACAAATTCCTTGGTCTCGAATTTTTTGCATAAGGTCAGAAGTTCATCCACAAATTCAACTTGTTTCGGACGAAATTGGCCTTGACCCATGGTTGGGCAAGGTGAATTAGAGGGAGATGAGATTAGCCCATGTGGTCTAAGACCATGTGTTGACCGAACGGAGCTGGAATCTGCAATATTCGGCTGATGATGCAGGTTCGCGATTGGTGGTACTTCTAGAATAAATTTAGATTGTTGGAGTGACATTTAGGTAAATTGAGGACATGGTTATAATCGATAGGGTATGGGCAATCATCTGGTGAAGGCCTGCGATCTAGGTGGTGGCCAAAGGAGGAGACTCTGGTAGTTTTCAGATTTTCTAATTGTTGACTTTGAGAGTTGCTTCCGACAAGATTAGTTGGTGTTATGGGGAGTAATTGGGTGGTAATTGTGGAGGAGGTTAAGGGCTTTTTATTGATGTCAATATCCAGTGGTTCTAGTGGTTGAAAATGTCCGACAAGTGGCGATGGAATGGGGGTGAGGTGCGGGAAGAAGGTAAAGTTATTTTTAATATTTTAATAATGCCTAATAACAAAAAAATCCATATGTTTGACACTTCTTGCTAAAAACGTCCCTACATTTCAATTTTTTTTACATTTTCATCCATATTTTCACGTTTCATTGTGGAAAACGTCCATTTCACCAGTTTTAAACGTAGGGACGCTTTTCACATTATAAGCCAAACGTAAGGATATTTTGTGCTATTAGACATTTTAATAATTACTTAGACCCACTTGCACTTTTTAAAATATTTAGGAGTAAGATTGTAATTTATTCTTTATTTTTCTTTTCTTTATTTTTGGGTTTTATTTAAATTGGAGGGTATTTTGGACATTTTACATTAAAAATGGTGAAAATGACATTTTTCGCAAAGAAATATGAAAATAAAGACAAAAATGTCGAAAATGAAAGATGTTGACGTTTTCCATAATAAATATTGAAGGTAGGGATGTTTTTTGCTAATTACCCTTTAAAATATTCTCCAATCTTTGACCTCATTTCTAAAAAGTGAATTTATAACATAAAAGAATATATATATATATATAAGATTATCATTTCTAAACACCGATACTTAGCTTATGTTAACCACCGGTGACATGACACACCATTTAATTGATGAATAAGTTAATAATAAATTCCATGGATTTAATGATTCACCAATTAAATAGCGTGTCATGTCACCAGTGCTTAGGAGATCTTTTTCGTTCGTATATATATATATCATGGGAACCAATACGACAGTTCTGACAAGCTAGAAAATACATAGAACAGGAAATCCACAGCTAAGAAAATAACAGATCAATAAAAGGCTAGCTTAAAAAATATACACAAATATGGAGGAGGAGATCCAATAAATGGCAGCATATTCCATATCAAACGACGAGTACGTAACAACAAATAATAAACTACTACAAGCGGGAAACAATACAGTCCGACAAGGTATCAAATTGTATATAGCACCGGTGACATGACACACCATTTAATTGGTAAATAAGTTAATGATAGATCTCATGGATTTAATGATTCATCAATTAAATAGTGTGTCATGTCACTGGTGTTTAACATAAATTAAGAACCGGTGTTTAGGAGATCTTTTTCGTGCGTATAAATATATCATGCGAACCAATACAACAGTTCTGACAAGCTAGAAAATACATAGAACAGGAAATCCACAGCTAAGAAAATAATAGATCAATAAAAGGGCTTAAAAAATATACACAAATATGGAGGAGGAGATCTGAAATAAATGGCAGCATATTCCATATCAAACGACGAGTACGCAACAACAAATAATAAACTACTACAAGCGTGGAACAATACAGTCAGACAAGGTATCAAATTGTCATAAAACCACACACATGCGTACATGTTTGACGAACTTCCATCCGAGAGAGCAAGTCATTCTGCCATCTTCATGCCCGTAAGATAGACTTGGGACTGGATCACACTACCGCCAATCCAGAAACCCGGCATAACCATTAGACCCACTTTAGGCTTCTGATCGCTATCTTCAATGACACAATTTTTCTCAACACTTTCCATATAAACTTCCGAGAACTCAGCGCCTCGCTTGACCTGGAAAATCTTAACTGAGGGATCAAAAGAATGTGCCAACCTGTGCAAAAGCCAAATTGACTTTGCCAGTTTTAGAAAAGCCTGGTAAAAAGCTGTCCTCGGATGACCACCTCCCATCACATAGTTCCGCTGATCTAGGTTTCCAAAAAACGAAGCCTCCATCTTTGGGTGAACGACAACTACGTATTTGCTCCGGCAAAATTTCTCAAAAATGGAATCTGGACTCTGCCCTACGGCATCTAGTGGATCCATTTCTCTTAAGGCGAGATATTGGTGGAATACACTTTCTTTGGTGCCTGATGGATTTTCCGATTTCACGGAGAAGCTTTCATCCTGAAACCCCAAGAACATTCTTTGGCAAATATGGGATTCAAAGGCATATTTCTTGTGAGCTCTCTTTGCATAAACAATGTCCGGCTCTATGGAGTTTGCCGCCGCATCAAGATCCCACCCAGCTGCTTTCATCATGTTGATTAATGGCTTGGAAAAATCATGAATGGATTTATAAGCAGCTTCCACTGCTGACTTGAAAAGATCAGGGGATAAGTCCAAAGAAAATATCCCATCTTCATCGACACCATCTTTAAATTCTTTGGTTGACATGCCCCTAAGCTTGAGGTTCTTCTCCAGTTTTACCCGCTTCTGACTTGCCTCTTGGATTTTCTGGTGCAGTTGAACAATCTCGGAGTCTTTATTCTGAATTTCAGACTGGAATTTTTTCACCATGACCTCATAAGTCTTCAACAAGCTCTGCTGTTCCTGAATCTCAGCAGCTAAGCGAGAGTCCTGTGGAGAAACGCACACAGGTTTGGGGTTATGCTCTCGGTAGAAATGCTTGAGTTCTGAGAGATTCTTCAGCTCGGAAATCACAAGTTTATCGGCAGCTTGAATCTTGTCTGGGTCGTAAGGAGTATGAGCAGATTGAAGTTGAATGTAGGCAGACTTCAGGGACGAGATATTGGTAAAAATCTTAGATACTAGCGCTTCCATAGCTTCCGGATTCTGATTTGCAGCTTCTTCCATGGGTTGGGGGTGGACCTTTTGGTTATTGCTGTCTCGGAGCTGGGTATCCTTCACGCCAGTCTGTTGCATATCTACTTGCAATTAGAAGGAAATTCACCAAGATATTTTTGGCCCCAGAGGAATTACTGCAGCAAATCCTGCAAAATCTGACAAGGTTATCCAGAGCATTAGTTAGAAAATAAAGAAGCGGGCATTTCATTTGAAGTCTTGGAAATACTTAGTCTGGATAAAAACATAATAATATAAGATTAAGAACTAGCAAAAATTGCTGAAAACACACGACAAGTACAGATTAAATAGATCGTGACTCAACTTCACATGTTTCTAACTAAAGCTCGCTCAGGCCATTGATATTTGGATATGAATTAATACTGACTTACCAAATCAACATGCTTTGTGGAATCCACCAAGGAAATCTCCTCCAGATCCACTCTTTACCAGCAGTTGTAATCCAATCAAATCAAAGCTAGTAGATTTTCATGTCCTAACAAAATTTTCAAGATAAATAGCAGTCCAACAACATCATGACCCAGAAAGGATGGCTAAGAGGGATAGTCAATACAAGCAATTAAAAGGGAAATCATTAATTACAATGGTGAAGTTTTAAGTCATAAAATATAGCTTGTCAGAATCACAGGACCTATACAGACTGGGATTTGGCTCTTTGAAGGCTAGATATGTTAAATCAAAAACTTCTAAGCAAGCAGTAGCAGTTGCAGCAAATGGGTGGTACAGTATCAGATTCAATAAAATTGGTGGACATGGAATATAGCTGGAGTATCATAGCCATGAGTCCATGACAATAATTCAAAGTTTCTTTAATTTTCAAAAGCAAAACAAGAACAGAAGAAGTCTCGAATGGGGATACTGCAAATCATGACCAAAGTAAATTTTCATAAACAAAGAAAGATTATTCTCAAACATGATCCAAATGTCTGAGACTCAGAGAATTCCAATTTTTATCTTTTCATTTTCTTCAAGAAGTTAGAAATATTACTACAGCAGAGAATAACGTTGGAGGGGGTGGGGGGGGGTCCAGGGGGGGGGGGGGGGGGGGGGGGGGGGGTTACCATACACCCATGCTACACACGGTAGGACACAGCTTTCGATACCCATGTAGTCAACAATTTTCCACTGGAAAAAAAGAGGAACGTGGATATTCATCTATATTTTCAGCTACACTAACATCTATGGTTACTGATACTGATTTCCATTAAAGAATTATAAAAGGGACACAGAAAGAACAAAAGAGAATAAACTTATTAATAAATTCTCCATAAAGAACATTTTAATAAAATTCTTCAGCCAATTAATCTTGCAAACAACACGTCGAGAGAGAGAATGTTTAGAAACAATCTCCTACTCTTTTAATTGTTAATCAAGATGGACCAAGATTTTAAAAAACTAATCTTCCATGGATGTTGCGAATCTGAGAGAAAGAGTAAATTAAACCCAGTAATCACTCAAATCGTAGAAATCACATTAATTGCTGTTAGTGTGGCCACTTAGTACCTAGATGGCTAGACAAGCACAAAAATTTCAATAGCAAGGACACAAGCAAACTGCAGCTGCCACCCATAATAAACATCTGAAAAGAAGGTCCTTCACTGCATAGAGTGATGGACATAATAAATGATTTTTGAGACCCTGTACGAATAAATGTCCTGCCATCGTGCAAGCCTCCCACTTGAGGCCACTATCCCTTGAGGAAAAAATAGATAGGACACTAGCAAATCCCAGTGATAACAATCATACAAGGAGAAGACTCTACGTTGCATTGCAGCAAAGCTGAATTTCGAAGACTGTATGCAAAGTAACGAAACTGAATTTATTGCACATGCAAATAGCCAATATAAAAACCAAAGCAATTACTAAAACCGAAGGTATGTATGTTCTTAACCACGTTTATGGAATTGCACATATTTGAAAAACACGGAGAGGGAAAAGCTATTCAGCATACCTTCAGGTAACTAATGTGTATGAATCCAGAAAGCATAATAATTCCAACCTACACGCACAAAGAAATATACTATTAATTAGCAAAGTTACTGATTTATAAATTTATTTTCTATAATCTATAATCTCCCACAGTCTATAGAGTACAGCCGAAAGTTTTGCAGCTGGTAGAGGGGAATGGACCATAAGATGAAATATGAAAGAATTAATAAACAGAAGGTGTGTTCAAACATTTACCAAAAGCAAGCTCAAAGAGTGGGAACCGAATCATAGTTCTACATATTTAAATTGGTTGGGGGGGGGGGGGGGGGGGGGGGGGGGGGGGGGGGGGGGGCTATATTTTGAAATTTTCCTTTTCAATTAATCGTTGCTTAGTTGCAAACGATATAATTAAGAGAGGCATTTGTAATCAAAGTAATCATTTAGCTACAAATGGACCTTCTCTATACAGAATCACAGATTCAAAAGTGAACCTCTCTTTTGTCAATTGATATTGAATTAATCCACCATTGATAGATCCGAATAATCTGTACCTGATTTTCAATTTCTTATGACTTCGTATACATTTTGGAATTCAAATGTTATAAATATCAGTAAACTTATTGTTATTTGTTTCACGATCAGTTAAAACTACAGAAACAAACTAACATGTATTATCATTGACTAACTACAGAATCTTCTTCGGATTCGACACGGAAATACAACTTCGAAACCCAAATCTGCACAGTGTCTCGCTATCCCTTCCTCTTTGAATTTGAACACAAATCTGCTCCACTCTCCTTTTTGAAAATTTTATTGTGTTACTGCATTCTTCAAAAAAATAAAAATAAAAATTCCAGCATTATATCCTACCCCCCAGTGCACTCGTTTCCCTGGCTCCATCCATGGTAGTTACCCCTACTGTATATCATAAAACCAAGTCCTCATGAACTAAGCATGAGGTCTAATGAAATTCTGCAAAACCGAAAAATGCTTTTTTTCTCATTAAAGTGACGTGATGAATGGCATCTGGGCAGCTAACGGTGAATGACAATGGAGATTCAATTGTGCATCAGACTCTAAATGGCTGCATATAGTTAAGTTCAATGACTAATAATTAACTATATAAACATTCTATTTTAGAATCCTAGTTCTAGATAGTATAAATCGCACTTACAATTTACAAATTGTAGACTTCCATATCGAATCAATTCTGAAAAGAGTTTTCATTTCCCATTTTCAGGCGCTAAATGTCAAAACAACAGTACATAAAACAATTTAACACGCTCCAGCTCCATCAGCTTTCGAAGCCACAAATCACACGCTGTAACTTGTATTTTCCAGGAATACAAATAATTAAATACTAAACAAACACTATTTGATTTGAGATTTCATATATTTGAGGCGTTCAAATGGAAATATACAATAAATTGGATGTCTGGCAACCCTAAAAGGAAAGTATTTTACACAGCATCAGTTAAACTTTCAGGATATTAAAAATACATTGTAATTTTAACAAGAAAATAAAAATGATGGGTTCATTCAATTTACCTGGTCGTAGATCTCGCCGAAAAATCGCCTGAAATGGACGCTTAGAGAGAGACGGAGAGATTTGGGGTAACTTTTGAAATTTGATATTGTTTTCTGACAATTTTAAAGACGCGTTTGGTAGGAGTAAAAATTGCCTCGAAAAGCTGAAAAGTGATATTTTTTCCTTTTTCTTTTAGTAATTATGAAACTTGCCTTTTTTGTTATGATTAAAATTAGAATTTTAGTAAATTTTGACAAAAATTGATAAAACGTCCCCGTTAATAAGTTGTGAATTTAAAAAATATATGTTTAAAATTAATTGTTGACTTTGAATTAAATTAAAATTAAAATTTCATTCCTTTTGAGGCTACATTGTCAAAGTAAGCAACATATCAATGTTGAAGTTTCACAAATTAAAAAGTTTTTTATATTAAAATTCACTTATTTATTTTATATTAAAATTTACTTATTTATTTATAAGTAACCTTTAGAGTTAGCCAAAGATATATTTTAAAGTTATAACATCAAACTTTTTTATTTTTTCTTGCCCCTCTTGAATGAATTAATTTATCCCCTTTGTTTGAGCCACATTATTTTTATTAAAATGCATTTTTAAATAGTGTGTTGATAGAAAATTTGTGGTTAAAAATAAGGAAAAATTTTGAATCTGCATATAAAATTATTTTATTGAAAATGTGTGATTAAAATGATGTCAAAATCCTGTTTAATAATATATTTTCTTAAAAGAATGTGGATCAAACAGGGTGCTATACTTATGTTGATAGAGTTTGTGCTTGATAAAAATAAAATATTCTTTTTTGCAAAAAAAAAAAAAAGAAAAAAAAGGTAGAGTTTGTGCATAATAATAAATAGTTTTAGCAATTTTTCCCAATACCAAACAGATCCTTCACACTTTTGTGTTCTTTAATCTTTTCTGCTTTCGGTGGGTGCTCAGGTTGATTGCTGCTACATCACTTTATATTTATTAATTATCATTTGTAATTATAATCAATAAATCTCTGAATTACTTTGATTCTAAGCCAAAATTAGTACCCTTTATTAAAAATGTATTATAGCCCAGTTTTCATTTTCAAAGTTCGATGAATTAAGTACTTTTTGATCTGTACTCTAAGTTGAATAGTATAATACGTTTTGAAAATTTCAAATGAACCTGTTTGACAGAATTTATTTGAGAATAATGAGTTATTAAAAAGTATTTTTTAAGAGAATGTGTGGTTGAAAAGCAAAGATACTTTATTGGTTCATGTATAGAATGTTTTATTATATGAATGTGTAGTGAAAAATGATCCTATAGGCTATAGCAAACGATTTAAATTTTTAAAGAATGACAAACAATATCGTAATTTTTCTGAAGTTTTGAAACAATTAACCACTTTTTATAATTGGAATCTTGATGCTTGAAATTCGAAGTCTTATCAATTTCACTTAGGAAGCTCATCCAAGGAAATGCTTCTTCTTAAGAGTGTACTTGATTGATATGAAGAATATCACATAAAAAATAAAATGTTTTCTTTGATTCTAGGAAAACAAAAGCCTACACCCACAAAGACAATATTTTTCTTAATAACATGGAAAATTATGCATATTTTGAAAAATTAGAAAATATTTTCAATGGAAAAAAATAGCAACCAAGCACTTCAAAATAGGAATTTAGGTGGAAAACTAATATTTTTCATAAAAAATAAATGTAATCAAAATGTTTTCTTACATGTCTATCATAAGTGGTAATAATGATGGTTACATTTTTTTGATAATTTTTCATAAACATACAAATAGTAAAAACAATCCGAGGTTCAAAATACACCCACGTGAAGAGTAGTGATTTAACTCTCTCTCTCTCTCTCTCTCTCTCTCTCTCTCTCTATCTCTCTCTCTCTCTCTATATATATATATATATGTGTGTGTGTGTGTGTGTGTGTGTGTGTGTGTTAAATGTTTATAATAACTTGAATACTTATTAAAATAAAGAGGTTTTAGTTTTAGGAATTCACTTATTGGCACATCAAAAAAATTGAGCTAGTGACTAAGGATATATTACCGCTCAAGACTTAGATGATTTGTTTGATGATTTTATTCCTAGCAATCAAGAATAAGTCATCTACATAGACTCGTTTGATATACACCAAACATATAATTCTTATTTCCTGGATATAGAAATCCTAGATGAATCGTCAAACTTTATCCACCAATTGTACTCAATATGTTTTGGACATGTTATAAAATGCATCTTATTATACTCGATGTATCAAGTATAATTTTGTACAATCTCATGATCATCGTGACTCAGATTGAATAACTCAAGTTAACTTTGTTTATTCAACTAACAGCTGTAACCTTTTATTGCTTAATACTTGGATCAAAAATTTCGAATTTAGTTTCCCACGCATGGCTTATTAAGCTATATTTACTTACAAGCTCGAATGGAAATTGTACATTAAACTTGTCCACTTTCATTATTTTCTTTCCATGGTATTCTATTCTCCATTGGTCAATTTGTTTTCGAACAAAACCCTCGGCTTCACCCTCTATGAATGAACTGTCCTCGTTGCTTAGACTATATTAAACTTCTATGTACTCTTAAGAGTTTGATAGTCGGCTAGATGTCAAATTTGATGCTGCCTTCATCTTCTGTTTTTTCTTTTCAAAAAAGCACATGTAATTTTCTTACCATATTTCTTCTAGCAGCCAACATTTGAGTATTATCTCAAGTTTATTTATAAGATAAAGATAAAATAATGGGTTATTGCTAACGGATGCTCTAGGGTGGTTAAGCTTCTACTACAGAGCCATGGTGTTAGAAGAAAATTCCAATATCTCGGCTCGATCAGATTAGACCGGACGCGACACGACTCGACTCAATAAAATTATAAAACAATGTTAGCTCATTTTGTTTACTATACTTATAATATATTACATTTTGTGAGATGAAGTGGATATTTTTTTTTTGATACCCAGGTATCCACCTTACAGCGATTAATTCTGGAGTTTACGATTCAGCCCCTTTTCACACAATAGATGAAGTGGATATTGATAGCACAAATGGTGAGCCCAGACTTTGAATAGCTCAACAGAATATGCCCAATAAAAAAACGAAGTACCATTTTGTCTTCAGATAAATATTTCATCCATCCACAATTACAAATTTCTACTTTGCTGGAAAATTAACTTTTGAGTATTAAACTTTTGGCCGTCGGTCAAATTACTAAAGTGATCATCATTTTTATACTTATTTTTAGAAAAAAAAAAAGTAACTTTAAAAATAGAAAAAATATACATATCAAAATGAAGATTGATTTTACCATTTTTTTTCAAATCTGTCATTTATGTTTTGCTCATATTTGTAATTTGATGTTTATTACTTTTAACTAGTTTTTGTAACAAAGTACAAATTATTAAGCATTGTTTGGTCTCATTATTTTCAAAATACATTTTTTTATGTCTTACTTTTAATTCCACATTTTTTAATAAAATAGTATTATATGCAGATCAAAAATTTTCTCACTTTTTAATCATATATTCTCCATTAAAATATTATTTAAAAATGTAATTTGGACAAAAATAGAGCTCGAACAATAAAAAGAAAATCCGATGTATAAAATATAAATATTATTCAATTTCAGTTTGTAAATTATTTTATTTTTCCTTTTATTGACATCTAAGAATATTTGAAAATAAAAAATGTCAATGTAATTCGAAAAATTTGTTTGGGACCCATAAAATGCCCATACCCTGAGTTAATTGTTTCAATGGTCGTTAAACTTATGTCTGTTGGAAATAATACTGTGATTGAGGATATTACTCCTCAATCACAATCTTCCCATAGCATGCCAATGTCAATCACGTAATTGAAGGAGGCTAATTTACACGGTTTCCATTTCATTTACACGGTTTCCATTTCATTGTAAATTATTGATTTGTATTCCATTTATACTATCTTGTAAAGCTCTATATAATGCAATACGATACACCACTGAAATTAAGGTGAATTTTTAATCATTCTTATGGTATCAGAGCCAAGTGGTTTAACATACATACCACATATCCTGTTCTTCTTCTTCCCTTCATGGCTTTTGAAACTTCTGCCACCCTTCTTCCTTTCAATACCTTAATCCACATGATCACTATTAAACTTTCCTCCTCAAATTATCTTCTCTGGAAAGCCTAACTCCTCCCTCTTCTTGAAAGTCAAGAATTATTAGGACATGTTGATGGCACCCTTATGCAGCCCCCAAAACTTGACGCTACCACTTCTCTCACGCCAAGTGACAAATACCTAGCATGGAAAGCTATTGATCAGCGTCTCCTCATTTTGTTACTTTCCTCCCTCACAGAGGAAGCCATGGCTGAGGTAGTTGGCCTCTCCATCGCACGAGACGTGTGGCTAGCACTAGAAAATGCATTTAGCTATCGTTCTAAAGCTCGAGAACTACGCCTTAAGGATGACTTGCAATTAATGAAACGCGGCAATAGATCGGTTGTTGAGTATGCCCGTTCCTTCAAAGCAATTTGTGATCAACTACATGCAATTGGCTGTCCAGTTGGTGGTACTGACAAGGTGCACTGGTTTCTCCGCGGGTTCGGTACTGATTTCTCTAGTTTCTCCACAGCACAAATGGCCCAAACTTCTCTACCCTCATTTGTAGATTTAGTCTCAAAGGCCGAAAGTTTTGAAATTTTTCAGAAATCCCTTGACTCATCTTCTCCAGCAGCGACAGCCTTTACTGTCACAAAAAATTCCACCCATCGTGGTGGCTCTTCTCGTAGTCATCGGGGTCGCTTCGGTGGGCATGGCAGCAGTTCATCTGGTCGTGGACAAGGACACTCCAACTACAGCCAATGGTGTCGTCCACCAAGATGCCAGATTTGCAGGATGGATGGCCACTTTGCCGATCGGTGCCTTCAACGCTGTGATTGGAATGAGACANGGGATTAGCACTCCTTTTTCACTCCCACATTTCTCCTCGCTTTTGGGTTGACGCGTTCAGCACTGCAGCTTACATTATCAACCGCTTGCCTACACCACTCCTTGGAGGTAAATCACCTTTTGAGATTTTGTACGGTAACCCTCCGAACTATGAAAACTTTCACCCTTTTGGTTGTCGTGTGTAT